ATCAAAGACCTGAATGTAAGTCATGAAACCATAAAACTCTTAGAAAAAACATAGGCAAAAATCTCTTAGACATAAACTTGAGTGACCTCTTCTTGAACATATCTCCTGGGCAAGGAAAACAACAGCAAAAAGGAACAAGTGGGACTATATTAAGCTGAAAAGCTTCTGTACAGCAAAAGACACCATCAATATAACAAGAAGGAACCCTACAGTATGAGAGAATATATTTGTAAATGACAGATCCGATAAAGGCTTGATGTCCAGAATATATAAAGAGCTCACCCACCTCAAAATGAAAAAACAAATAATCCAATTAAAATATGGGCAGAGGAACTGAAGAGACAGTTCTCCAAAAAAGAAATACAGATGGCCAACAGACACATGAAAAGATGCTCCACATCACTAATTATCAGAGAAATGCAAATTAAAACCACAATGAGGTATCACCTCACACCAGTAAGGATGGCTACCATCCAAAGACAAACAACAACAAATGTTGGTGAGGTAGTGGACAAAGGGGAACCCTCCTACAGTGCTGGTGGGGATGTAAATTAATTCAACCATTGTGGAAATCAGTATGGTGGTTCCTCAAAATGCTCAAAATAGACTTACCATTTGACCCAGGAATTCCACTCTTAGGAATTTACCCTAAGAATGCAGCACTCAAGTTTGAAAAAGACAGATGCACCCCTATGTATATCACAGCACTATTTACAATAGCCAAGAATTGGAAGCAACCTAAGTGTCCATCAGTAGACGAATAGATAAAGAAGATGTGGTACATATACGCAATGGAATATTATTCAGCCATAAGAAGAAAACAAATCCTACAATTTGCAACAGCATGGATGGAGCTAGAGGGTATTATGCTCAGTGAAATAAGCCAAGTGGAGAAAAGAGAAATACCAAATGATTTCACTCATCTGTGGAGTATAAGAAGAAAGGAAAAACTGAAGGAACAAAACAGCAGCAGAATCACAGAACACAAGAATGAACTAATGGTTACCAAAGGGAAAGGGACTGGGGAGGATGGGTGGTTAAGGAGGGATAAGGGGGAGGGAAGAAGAAAGGGTGTATGATGATTAGCATGCATAATGGGGGGGTGGGAGAAAGGGGAGGGCAGTGTAACACAGAGAAGACAAGTAATGATTATACAACATTTTGCTGTGCTGATGGACAGTGACTGTAAGGGGGTTTGTGGGGGGGACCTGGTATAGGGGAGAGCCTAGTAAACATAATGTTCTTCATGTAGTTGTAGATTGATTATAACAAAAAAAAAGAAAGAAAGAAAAGGGGGATTACTCCCTGATAGGATAAATCTAACTGCAATTCAGCGATTAATGCGTGCTTTAAATAACCTTAATTTTGATCATTTAAAGGATGTCAGATGATCAGCTATGGAAGTACATTTTTCTGATAATATTCCTTTCTCTAAAAAAAAAAAAAAAACAGTTCCTGTGTGGTGATCTCCAATAAGTTCTTCACAATGGTATAAAGAGCATATCAAAGTGTGGGTAAAGGGTTAGTTTATGTTTATACTGAGGATCAAAGCCTAATTTGGCTACCCAAAAAATGAATTAAGAAGAAGAACGAATTATGAAAACGAATTATGAAGAAGAACTGCCAACATCAACATTCCTTGGAAAAGTCATTCCAGAAGAGGATCATCAAAAAACTTCAACAAACATCCTGGTGCTGTTACAGTTGTAGCTGCATTCATCCCACCGGTTCCTGGACTTGCCATTGGAATGAAGAAGGAGATATCTAAGCTGGCCTGTGCATATAATAAAACAACAAATTTGACTGGATCTATACTATTGGAACTCAACCAAGAATTAGGAGAAGTGCAAGTTGAAGCACTCAAAATCTTGTGACTATAGACTACTGTTAAAAGAACATATGGGATGTGAACAGTTCCCAGGAATGTGTTGTTTTAATTTGTCTAATTTTTCTCAAACTATTCAAATTCAGTTAGACAATATCCATCATATCATTGATAAGTTTTCACAAATACCTAGGGTGCCTAACTGGTTTTCTTGGTTTCACTGGATATGGCTGGTAATTGTAGGTGTGCTTTGGTTATGTAGCTGTATTCCTTTTATGTTAATGTCTGCACGCAATTTAATTAGTAATTTAAAGCCTATACACACTTATGTTACACTGCAAGAAGATATGTCAAAGAAATAATCAATCTTCCCATGTTTTCTTCCATCTGCTACTTCTACAGCTTCTCTTCTTCCTTCATAATTATAACCCTTAAGTAGAATTCGTGCCTCATATCGAAATTACTGAGTATCATAATTCTTCCAAGTGGTAAAGATACCTCAAGACAAATGCTGGGCATAGAAACCACAGGGCATAAATCTGCAATAAAGTAAAAAGCTAACCTTTTCAAACAATATTGCTTCTCTCTCACTTGCCAACTTTACATTTCCCTATATGGCCCCGGAAGATGACTGGTTAACCAGAGACGGGTAAGATTCCTCAAGGGAGGAACAATCTAAGACAGGCACAGTCACAGAGGGGCCATCAGATGAGAAATTGGGGATCAACAGAGGTGAGGCTTAGAACCTCACCCCCCCCCCTGTTTTGAAAGAAATCCTCTGGATCCATGGATGTTTTGTTGCCCTTGTCTAGCTTGGATTAATACTTAGTCTATAGGCACACACCTGATCATCTACATTTGCCCTCTTACAGCACTAAACTATGTTTTCTACCTTTATCTTGCATCTACCTACCACTTCAGCATTTTATTAAAAATAATAATAATAATAATAATAAGGGAGAAATGTGGGATGCACATATAAATCAAGTATAAAAATAAAACGAATAATCATAATTGACCTGATTGTTTATAGTTCATGATGCGTGATCAAAACTGAAAGTTTCTGTGGTGACTGCCCATGCCCTGTTCACCATGTAAAAACTTTTTTGTTCTGCTTCAGAAGATTGGAGACTGTTGAGAATTAGGCTTGGGGTTGATTAATGATTGTGCATTGAGTCCCCTATACAGAATTTTATTGTTGTTAACAACCATATAATCAATAAATATGAGAGATGCCCTCTAAATAGAAATTGATGTAATTTACTATATGATCTGTATATTCCAATTCTGGGTATTTGTCTGGAAATAAAAACAGTAAGTTGAAAAATATATGCCTCCCTATGTTTATTGCAGCATTATTTATAATAGCCAAGATATGAAAGCAACCTACATATCCATCAATTGATGAATGGTTAGAGAATGTAGTATGTATGTATGGTGTGTGTGTGTGTGTGTGTGTGTATGTGTGTGTGTGTATCTGTTTGTGTAATGGAATATTACTCAGGCATAAGGAAGAATGAATTCTGGCCATTTGTGATAACATGGGTATTATGCTAAGTGATATGTCAGGTGGATAAGGACAATTACCATATGCTTTCTTTCATATACAGAATCTAAACTAAACAAACTCAAAGATGCATAAAACAGATATGATGGTTACCAGAGGGGAGGGGAAAATTATTGGAGAGTGTGCAAGAATGAAGGTGGTGAATTTTATGGTGATGGTTGGTAACTAGACTCTTGGAGGTTACCACTTTGTAGTATATAAGATGTCAAATCATAGTGTTCACCTGAAAATTATAAAATATTATATACCAATTTTACCTCAGTAAAAGTAAAATAAAATAAGGCAATAGAATTCTGATTCATCAAATGTCCTATGTAGATTTTCTTCCTCCAGACTTCTGTGGGAGTATTTATATTCCCATTGCAATATAGTTTTCTAGAAAAATAAGTGTGAGTTTTCTTTTTGGTGGGTTTTAATCTAAATACATCTGATATATTCCCATTCACCCCAAAGAACAAATAATTGTTCCCTTCTACATGCTCTCAAGCACTTGTCAATGCCACTATTCCAGTATTTAGCTTTGTTGTGTTACAGCAATTGTGAAAGTGTAGTCTTCCATACTAAACTGTTCGCTTCCTGCAGAGAGGAATTTTGTCTTACTGGCCTGTATATCCGTCATAGAGCCTAACCAACTATTTGAGATGCAGTAAATGTTCAGTAAGTATTTATTGAATAGATTAATATTAGAAAAATTTAAATTTTAGAATGGAGTGACCTTTGGGATAAGTGAACTTGTTTGCTTGTGAATATATACTAAGTGGAAATGAGCTGTAACTTTGTTCTGAAAATATAGGCTTGTAGTTGGAAAAACAAAAACACCAAGTGATTAACTTTTATGCTATCCACTCTCCTAGAGGATGCAGAAATTAGAAATTAAAAGTTGAACCTCTCACCACATGAGGAAGAAATTACTTCAGAAAGTAATTCCTGAAAGAAATATGTCCCTTTTTAAAACACATTCTGACAATCTTCTTCTATTAATTGGATATAGACTTGCACCTGTCCTTGTGTAATTTCTGTCCCCTCAAAAAAGGGGGGTCAGGCTCAGTTTACCTGAATTTTCTTTTTTGGCTTTGATATATATGCCATGAAAACATAAGGAGTAGTTATCATTTCAAAGCTAATGGTTATTTTCCTATATTAGAAAATTTTCATGAAATTTATTATTAGTTTTAGTAAATATCGGTAGGGTCCCTGGACTATGTATGTATATCATGCATTATATAGAGAACAGATCCCATCTATAAACTTCACCTTGGTTTATTTGTCTTGGAGATATACTTAGGTTATGCATACAAGCATAAAAGGAAAAAGTATGAGATCTACTCAAAAGCGTCCTGACTACCCTTTGGAAGGGTAGGATCCAAAAAAAGAGAGGAGACTGTATCTCCTTTCCATGGCAAATATAAGGGTTTCTTTTGCTTGGGAAAGTAGAATTTAAGAATTCAAAACCTGTCATGGATGCACAGATGACGCCCCCTCCATGTGCTTTCTCTTCTCCACCTTCCGTCGGACCGGCAAGTGTCACGTGCAGACCATTCAGCTGTGCCGCCGGCTCACTGTGGAGTTCCTGTACTACATCATTGCTGCCCGTGCCCTGCACAAGGTCTTTCTGTCCATCAAAGGCATTTACTACCAGGCCGAGGTGCTGGGCCAGCCCATCGTGTGGATCACGCCCTGCTCCTTCTCCCATGACCACCCGACAGACGTAGACTACTGCGTCATGGCCACCTTCACCGAGTTCTACACCACCCTGTTGGGCTTTGTCAACTTCCGCCTTTACCAGTCGCTCAACCTGCACTACTCCCCCAAGCTGGAGAGTCAGTCCCCTGCAGAAGTGAAGGCCAGTGAGGACACCTACGCATTGGACTCTGAGAGTTCTATGGAGAAGCTGGCGGCCCTCGGTGCCAGTCTAGCCCGCGTGGTGGTGCCTGCAGAGGAGGAGGCCAAGGTGGATGAGTTCCCTGCCAATGAGGAGATGACAGCACAGGAGGAGGACCGCAGGAAGGAACTGGAGGCACAGGAAAAGCACAAGAAGCTCTTTGAGGGCCTGAAGTTCTTCCTGAACTGGGAGGTGCCCTGTGAGGCCCTGGCTTTTGTTATCAGGAGTTTGGGGGAAGATGTGTTCTGGTACAAATCTCTGTGCATTGGGGCTACTTATGGCATCACCAATTCCTGCATCACCCACCAAATTGTCGACCGGCCTGGGCAGCAGACCCCCGTCATTGGCAGGTACTACATGCAGCCGCAGTGGCTGTTTGACTCTGTGAACGCCCAGCTCCTCCTCCCCGTGGCAGACTACTTCCCTGGGGTGCAGCTGCCCCCACATCTCTCCCACTTCGTGTCAGAGAAGGAAAGCGATTGCATCCCCCCTGAGAAGCTGAAGCTGCTAGCCCTGCGGCGGGGTGAGCACCCAGGCAGTTCGAATGAATCCGAAGAGGAGGTTGAGGATGACAGTGAAGGTGATGGTGATGGTGATGAAGGGGAAGAAAACTAGGAGGAGAAGGAAGATGGAGAAGCTGGTTCAGAAAAGGAGGAAGAGGCCTGACTGACAACCCTGGAGGAGCAGAGGATGGAGGGGAAACAGCCCAGGTGATGGCAGGCACCATGAAGGTGGAGGACAAGCAGCGGCTGGCCCAGGAGGAGCCGAGCGAGGCCAAGCACCTGGCCATCATGATGATGAAGAAGCGGGAGAGGTACCTGTACAACAAGATCATGTTTGACAAGAGGCACAAAATCCACAAGGCCAGCAAACTGGCAGATGAAACCGTGAAGTCTGAGAAGAAGGCCAGGAACGGACGGCCAGTGTGAGTGCGATAGCCTCTCGATGGGCAAGGCCAGCTTCTGCCAGCTGGACTAGGCACAGACGGCCAGAGGGCTAAGCTTGGTGACAGACCAGAGTCTCTTCTGTTTTCCTCCCCCTTTTACCCCACCTGCTGGGCTTCCTCTTGTGCTCCTTGGCTGGGCCTATGGGCAGCCCCAGTCTCCCTTGGATGGAGCTCCCTGCTGGTGACTGGGCAGAGAAGAGGCCTCTGCCCAGCCCATCTCGATGCTCCCAGGAGTCCGTGACATGGGGGGATCAGCAGTCCAGCAAGCCCCTCACCAGCTGCTCCCATTCACCCTGGCTTTCTGCAGCACTCCTCCCACATGCAGTTGGACCCATGATTCTTCTGATGCGGTGATGGGGTGAGGGTGGGCAAGTATTGGTTATTAAACGGCTGGAATTTGCAGCCAATTGGAAAAAAAAGGCTGGCTAAGGCTAAAAAAAAGAAAACTTCAAAAAAGGGGGGGAAAACAGTGATACAACACCTAAAAATAAAAGATAAGGGAAAAAATTCTGTTTTCTCCCTATATCCAGTTTAAGTAAGTGGAAAGATCTGCTTATTTCCAAGGTTTTTAAGGTTGATTGCCTCTGAGTTGAGAAACTGAACTCTTGTTTTCCATGGTACATTTGTGAGATTTCTTTTAAGTAAAACCACAACACTGTATCAAATACTTTAATGTTTGGACTGATGTTAATGTCCCAATGACTTGGATCATATAAACTACAGACTAGAGACCACTGTGTAAATCAGAAGTAAACTTACCAGCATCCAAGATGACCATGCAGATATGAGTAATATAGAAGATAGCATTTGCCATTTAATATATGTATATATTAGATGATAATGCTTATATATTTAAGTACCTTAGCTACATTCTTGGCTTATTTGCAAATTCTTCATTAGTCCAAGGGTGATCTATGATTCATTTCTCTGATCTATCTTTTTTTCTGTGTCTATGAAATGGATACTTTCAGATACTTCTCAGTTCTTTATAAGGAAACACAGAGGGCATGACACAGCCTATGATGGCTCTAATATTAGATTTGTTCAGGCAATAGTGTGTAAAGGCAAAATTCAAATGGTTAAATAGTTGCATAATCATACGTATGAAAAAATGTTACAACCTATAATTTACCTTAGAGAAAATGTATGCATAAGTTGCAGCAAAATTTACCAATATTCACTATATACTTGAATGCCACTGCTAATCTTTCAATGAAATACAAATGCGCCTTTAATTTCATGATTCTATCATTTGTAATTGACTTAATGAATTAAGCTATTCACATGTGGCAAGGGAGAAAAGAAGGAAGGAACGGGATGGAAGTATTTTTCTTGCTGTTTCATCAACATTAAATATAAGCCAAGATTTTCATTGACATTGACCATACGCCAATCCCTCATGTTAGCTCCGGATACTGGTTATGTTGCTGAATGTTAACAGTATTATATATGTAACCTATATACATATTTATAAAACCAGCCAGGGCCTTCTGGAGCATCATCAAACACATCATGTAAATCAGACCAACATCTGTTGGTCAATAGTGGACTAGATGGCCTCCTGAGGTTCCTTCTAGGCAGATTTTTGTGAAACTTTCCCATTGTGGAATTTGGATTATATTAGATCACATCTAAACATAATTCTATATAAGAAATTTGCAGTCTCTAAATCTGATACAGGTTTCTCTTGTCACATGATTCAGTGGAAGTACAGATATGTTGTTTTGGTATACACCTACTAGCTTAGAGATTTATTTATTCTTCCAGCCTTCTATAAAGTGTTTTTATACCCCTAAGGTTGTCAATAAGTAATTTCCATTAGTACGCTCTTGGTTTGCAATGAATCTCATATTCTGAAGTCTGTTTTATTAAGGTAGTCTGTACTTTCAGAAATGTTAGTGTGGTGCCTCTGCAGACCAACTGATTGACTGAAAGATTGAATGAAGTTAAACTTTAAGCCCAAAATATTCAGGCAGAGTAATAGGAGAAGAATGTTCTTGAAGAACATTGTGAATGCTGTTAATTCAGACAGTTCAATATATTATTAGATATTGTATCTTCAAAATTCTACAGACATCTTTCTACCATGCTTCATTTGGGGAATCTGTTGATGTTGCAGGGACTATGCAGCTTTTTGGCTTGAAATGACAAACCTAAAACAGAAGTACTGTGAGCAATAGCAGCTGTTAATGCAGGTATTGATTCATCCTTTTGAAAGATATTTATTCTTACTTTTCTGTAAATTGTTGATTACAGCTATTTTGTGGCATTCTTGGCTTATATATAAAATGCTCACAATGCAAAGTTCTATGAAAGTCAAAGAAAAATGTATTAATTTTTAGCTTGAGCATGGTATCCTCATTAAAATATTCTATATAATTTTTCAGATACTTTAGTTCATCTTGAGTTTGATGAGTGGGAACTACATGGTAGACATGAACAGAAAAACATTGATTTATTGACTCCAAGTATTTCCTTGGTTATAGAAGGCCCCTTTACTTTCATGTCTCATAATTTTTCTCTTTCCAAGCTCATTCTTACCTTTTAGGTTAAAGCAGCATGTATGAATTGTGCATGTGATATCCAGATTAAAAAAAGAAGATATCTTCCAAGGAAACCCAAACATATAGTTAGTTCAGTATACATTTTATTTTTCCTTTTGTTTTCATTCTTTTAACATGACACAGACTAATTTGGCACTTCATAATCATGATAGTTATACCCTAGTTGCTAGCTCTTCATTGTAAATGGCTTGTCTGTATCCTTAAGGTGGAAATATTAGAGCCATTGAGAACTAATCTAGGCCTAGGAAGTACCAGTCATTCTAACGCTTCTATTCAACTCTGGAACTTGTCCCTAAATGGAACTGGGTCCCTCTGACATCACTTCTAGGATTCTTCCAGCATAAGTTAAAAAGATGGCCTGAACTCCACCCTGTTAAGAAGTCATGGAATTATCGTAGAGGTTCTTTATAGAAGGAACTTACATGCATTGCTATTTTTTCATAACCACTGTACAATATAAAAATCAGGAAACATCACTGATTTAGTACTATTTTCTAAACCTCTGCTCATACTTAAGTTTCACTGGTTGTCTTACTGTTGTTTTTTATAGCCACCACCATCCCCTCTCCTATGCTCCCCAGTCAATTATTCAACATTGGATCATATGCTGCATTTAGTTGTTAGGTTTCTTAACTCTTTTTCAGTCTGGATGAGTTCCTCAGTCTTTAATTGTCCTCCATGACCTTGACATTTTCAAAGAGTATACAGTGTGGTCTCAGGAGTAGAATCAAATTTTGTATTTTGGCCATAAGAAGTGATGCTATGTTCTTCTTGGTGTACCCTATCAGAGACAACTGATGTCAGTTTGTCTCATTATTGATGATAATTTTGATCACTTGGTAAAGGTGGTATCTTCCAGGTTTCTCCATTTTTAAGCTTATTTATAAAAACTAAATTGTAGGGTGATACTTTGTGTCTATATAAATACCCTGTTCCTCCAACTTTTATCTACTAATTTCAGCATCTACTGACAATTCTGACTGAATTACATATTATTGTGATGGTTGTACAATGATGATTTTCTAGTTACATCATTCCTCTACATCTTAAGTTTGCATTCTATTATGAGGAACAGTTGCTCTTTTTTCCCTGTTTATGTATTTATTTATATCAGTATGGAAATATGGATTTTTATTTTACTCAAATAGTTATTGTCCATTTCTATAATATGTCCTTTGATAGATATATTCTTCTTATTTTTGAATGTTCACTCTTGGCATAATAGAATGTCTAAGGCTTAATTTGTACTTTTCCTGCCCCTGGAATCAGGCATTGCTCCAAGAAGCCTCTTTCTCCTTTTGATCTTTCTTTAGTTTAATCTGATGCAATGCACTTTTAAAAACATCCATGCTTTTAGTATGTCTTAATTCAGATACTCAGAAGGAAGCTAATCTAACAGGAATAATATTCCAAATTGTTACCAATTCTTCTAGTTTACCCACCATTTAAATGTGCTGGGTATTTTTCTGTTCCTAATGTGCTGCTAAAATCCCAAAAATGTGTATCTAGAGGGAACCATTCTGACAAGGGTGATTAAAATTTGGGTTCCATACAACAGAGTTAACTGACCATTGCAACATTCAGGTAACTAATAGCAATGACATATGGATCTCATTGCAGGTCATTACAAGTCACATCTTGGGCTTCAGTTTCCAAGTGTGCTTGTCAATATTTCCATATTCCAGTAGAGAAGAAGAAAGAAGCTGTAAGATTCTGTGATAAAATGGTGGTAGAGGTCAGGGGTAAAAAAAGAACATTTACAGTTGGTATAATTTAAAGTCCCTCTGTTCTATTATTTCTCATATTATTAAATATTCTCAATGGGAATAAAATTAAAAATAATCTGAGAAAGACCAGATGTATAAACATAATCAAAATCAACTGTCATTTTTTCTAACCCTTCAGTTTAGATGGGGGTATGAAAAAATGGTTATGTACTTGTTGAAGACAAAAATAAGTCTCCTCAACAATGTCTCATCAACTTTGAAAGATGAATCAAAAAACTTAGTTTTGCCTATGGATAAATCAAGTGAAGATGATAAGCAAGTAATTTGTGGGCAATCTCCTTACTGGTATTGAAATATAATATGGATTGCGGGTTTATCAAAACTTTATGGAACATGTATTATTTTTAAGTTAACAAGTAATACTTTCCTTAAATTACAAAAATAACTCTACTGACACCCTCTCAATATATTACATATTTGAGTTTGTTTCTTAACAATGATGATAGATATGTACTGCTATCTGTGTTCTTGCCCAGCCCCCTTTGGTCACTAAACATGCTTGCAAAATAGCTAGTTTGACCTGTATTTTGTTGCCATAAAACAGAATAATGCTAATGACCCATTAAATATATGAGCCTTGGGATAAGTCTATGTCAGTTGGTAAGCAATATGAAAGAACAATCCAGGAATCA